GTACCTCAATCAGATTGAGGACGTTTTTAGCAAAGGCCAGCTTAGGAGTACCCTAATTAAGTTAATCACAATGTACCTACCTATATAGTTTAAGTTTTAAAAATTTGGCTCTCAAAAGAAATTTCAATTGTTGTACTGTTGATATTTGGCTCTGTTGACTAATGAGTTTGCCGACCACTGTATTAGCCAAAGAGCATCAAATCAAAGGATCTATAAAAGGACTGCTTGCCCACCTAACTGCCTCCCTGCCTCATCGTGATCCCAGACATGAGGGCTTCTTGGATCTCCTGTCTATGAAATCGGTAGAGAAAGGATTTCCTTCATTTTCCTGGGTCACTCATTCTAGTATTTAAACATTCTAGAAGACAGGAGGGATGATCTTGCTTAGGATAATAGGACAAAGCTACACCCTACCTAGCATGAGTTCTATCCCATTTTAAGAGCTCACACTTGGCTGGAATCAGCACCATTTTCTGGCTGATCATGTTACAACTGACAAGTCAGATTAGGAAAGATTATACTTACACTTCAATAGAGATACCAAGTTCTTTAGCGGCAAGCACGGCAAAATATTCATAACTGTCCAACACAGCCTTATCATGGCCTTTTACTAAAACTGACAGGCGCTTATACAATGTGTCCGGTTCATCGGAAATAGTTATCTACAATTTTGAAATAAAAAAGGAAAGGTTCATTTGTGGTTCCTCTAATATTTACAACTAAAATATTTAACATATTATCCTCACTCAATTGAGCAATTTCAGAGTTTAGTAATAAATGGGGAGAAAAATGCTATGTAACATTTTAACACTATAAGCTTAAGTATCTAATTACTATCACATTCAGATCTGCACAATGACCCTTAGAATCTGTTAAAATGCAGTTTGAATCAAAGGGACTTTCAAGGCAACAAAATCACTAATGGAACCTTCTAACTTAAGAGTTATTGAGCCCCAAATTCACAATGGGAAAGGATTTTGGGGTTTGTTAACAAAAGTAGCCTGGTCAGAAGACCTGAATTGAGAATTAAACTCTGCTACTTCTAGCTAAATGACAATGGGCAAGTCACATAATCTCACTGCACTTTAGTTTTCTCATATATAAAACAGAATACTGATGCTACAGCTCACAGCATTTCATTAGAGAATAAGGAAACAGATTAAAGTGTTTATAAATGATAAAACATCCTATATAATAAGAGCGTAATATGCAAATCGAGCCAACGGCATAATGACCCGTCAGCAGGGGGTGGGGCTGGGGAACAGGAGGCCAGCAGTGGAGGGGTGATGGGGGGCGTGGGGGGCAGGGCCAGCTGCTCGCCAGCAGGCACCTGACCCCAGATCAGCCTGCCCTGGTCACCTCCCGCAGAGGGAGGCTAGACTGCGGCTTAGTAGGACATCCCCTGAGGGCTCCCGGACTGTGAGAGGGTGCAGGCTGGGCTAGTTGTTAGATAAAGGTGAGTAATTACTATTCATATTCTTTTTTTTTATGCTCACCTGAGGATATGTTTATTGATTTTAGAGAGGAAGGGAAGAGAGAGAAACAGAGAGACAAACACTGATGTGAGAGAGAAACATCAATCAGTTGCCTCCTGTACAAGCGCTGACCAGGGATCAAAACCTATAAACTAGGTAATGCCCTGACCTAGAATTGAACCCGCGATCTTTTAGTGTAAGGGATGATGCTTCAACAAACTTAGCCACCCCGCAAGGGCCCATTCATATTCTTTATTTTAAAATGTCTTTTTATTAATTTTAGAGATAGAGAAAGGGAGAGGAAAAGGTCAATGAGAGAAACATTGATCAGCTGCCTCCTGCACGCCCTCTACTGGGGATTGAGCCCACAACCCGGGCATTTGCCCTGACTGGGAATCAAACCAGTGACCTCTCTGTGCATGGGACAATGCTCAACCAACTGAGCCACATGGGCCAGGGCCATATTCTTCTTAAAAAATATATTTTTACTGATTTCAGAGAGGAAGGGAGAGGGAGAGAGAAACATCAATGATGAGAATCATTGATTGGCTGCCTCCTGCACACCTCCTACTGGGGACTGAGGTTGCAACCCGGGCATGTGTCCTGATTGGAATCGAACCACAACCTCTTGGTTCATAGGTCAACACTCAACCTCTGAGCCACACCAGCCGGGGTAGGGCCATATTCTTTATTAGGCTTTATTCATGGTTTTTCCTGCCATAATAGAAAAATTACTCATTTCTAATTAACATGTTATGATACTGACTGTACATATAACTTCTAACTCTTCCGCCCTAATACTTAAAATCTTAGAAATAATGGGTCCGATGTTTCTTTCTTCCAAGAGGTGAATTACCTTCACTTCATTCATCCATTAAAACAGTAATTTATATACTAATCCAATGATTCAGGGTTAATTACTTCACCTCTGAAGGGAGATCTACTTACACAATCAGGAAGCTAGACATTCACTCTCAATTACCCCAAACAGGGTAGTTGGAAGAACAGAATATACTGATATCCTATGGCAAAAGTTGGGGGACAACGGAAGGGGGAATATAGCCCTAAGATGTATTCTTATTGGTTCCTATAGATTTTTTTAAATTAAGTAATTAATTTATTTTTTGAGAGTGAGACAGAGAGAGAGAAAGAGAAAGAGAAACACTGATTTGTCGTTCCACCTATTTATGGATTCATTAGGTGATTCCTGCATGTGCCCTGACTGGGGATTGAACCAAACATACCTTGGCTTATTGGGACGACACCCTAACCAACCAAGCTATCTGGCTAGGGCTCCCTACAAGGTTTTGAACCTGTTAAAAATACTAAAATTCAGGAGATTTCACATAACAATTTATATTTCAGTTTAGCTGGAAAAATTTAGACAATCTGGCATCAGTAGGTCTGACTTCTGAACGGCAACAAGTGGCTAGAGTAAGTAGTAGCTGTCTCACTTATCAGGGGCACAGCGGTCATTGTGACCACCCTGTCACCCCTCCTTACAGCCTGGGCCATGCAGGCATCTGAGTTGCAGACCTGAGGTTATGTATGTATTGTCATGGAAATATATCCAGTCTCTACTAAGTGAAAAAAATGAAACAGAGTACATTATGTATAGCAGAATTCTATTTTGGGGTGCATGTGCCTAGATAGAATGATTGCGTACAGACTAATGTCTAAAAAGATTCATACTAAATTGTTAGAGGGTTATTTGAGGGGTGGAATTAGAAAAAATGGGACTTTATAAGGATTTCAAAAAATTACAAATAACACAAAAACTGGATTGAAGGAATCATGGCCTTTACTTAAATGAAACAAGGTCATATGCTACTTCTGATTTTACTAGTGTTACTGCTCTCTCTCACCGTCAAGGCCTGGCTCACTGTCTTAAAATGAGAACAAAGACTTGACAGCTACAGGAAACAAATGTTCCTTGAACACATCACACGTTCTGCATCATTAGTTATGACAATTCTTCACATTATTCTGAGTTACAAGCAAAAGACTGCTCACTCCCACAGTTCTGTGGGATAAATAATTAATTCTTTTAGAACTTGCCTACATACCCTGAAAGAGAACATGAGCACCAGGGACATCAGAGAATACTCTACTCAGGCACACTATGCAATTGCCAGTAATCCCGAACAAAATTTTTAGTCATAAAGCATTTGGGAAACAACCCCAAATGAAATAAGGAAAAGTAATAGCTGACGTGGCTCCCTATGCCAAGATGTAGGGAGCACATACCGCAGGCTTGGTCAAGTCCTTGGGAACATCAACATGTAGGCTTGAAAACTGTACCCACTTCATACTGGAACTGCTGTGTGGAGGGAAAAAGAGAAACCTAAGTAAAACAGCACAAGCGCCCATTTTCTTGTTCAGTGCAGCACATCCAACTGCATACTTACAGAAGAAAGGCACCATTTTTGGATGTTCTGCTCTTAGAACTGCTTACAGAAAAATCCTTCGAACCCTTAAAAAAAAAAAGGGAACATGTAAGAATTAAAGTCAATCCCCAAACCATTCATAGTTTCCACTAAAAAAATCAAAAGATGTATGTTTCAAATAAAGAGCTATCTCGTTATTTCTGATGAAGATATTGGGTAACTAAAATGCCAAATTAGATTTTATTAAAAAAAAGACAATAGTAGCATTGATAATCAAAAGGGACTCTCAAAATACTAGAGAACCTACATATTTTAAAGCTTAGAAGAAAATTTTAAAAACAAGTAATTCTCACATTAAAATAACAGCCACAAATTAAATTTGTAGACTTCAAAGAAAAAAATGTGGCTTAATTTCCCCATTATTTTTTACAGATTAAATGTAATTCAACATAATACTTATTTGCCTCAATACTTTTGAACAAAAATGTCTTTATAATTTAAGTTATTAAATAGAGTTGAAATAAGAATTCGGAAGTACACTTCTTTTGAAGCTTTTATACATCTTTTCCAGCATATGCATTTCTTGGCTTGGCGGGGACTACTAGCTTATAAACGGAAATATACACTGAAACTGACATCCATTTTACACCATGACTGTGCCTCATAACTCAACAATCCAGCTTTTCCAATTCCTTTATTGTCAGCTCCCCCTAGTGGATCAAAACTTCTAGTTGAAGGAAACATGGTACTATATATATTTAATTTGCCATCTGTTTTTCCTTTAGGCTTTCCTGAGATTTAAATACAGATCTTGTAACATAGAAAGCCACACCTGAAACCTACATGATCCTATTAACCAATGTCACCCCAATAAACTTAATTTAAAAAGTGTAACCCAAGAAACTGGAAGCATGCTAGGATCCTTAAAACTACTCTGAAGATGAGAATAACTGTTTAGCACAAGTGAAGTTTAATTATAACAACTGAAGGTCATCTAGAGAAAGATAAATATCACATGATCTCACTCATTTGTGGAATATAATGAACAACATAAACTGATGAACAAAAACAGATCCAGAGACAGAGAAGCATCGATCAGACCGTCAAACCTCAGAGGGAAGGCAGGGGAGGGTGGGGGTAAAGGGGAGAGATCAACCAAAGGACTTGTATGCATGCATATAAGCATAACCAATGGACA